AATTTGAACAACATTGGAGGTATTTTCAAATGCTTTTTATAAGACAACGCGAGATCGAGGGACCTGTGACTCATATATAGCGTGTACGAATATAGGTGTAGTACGGCGATTTAACATTAAGATAGAGACATGGGGAAATCCGACACATTACCCAGGCAACGGTTCGGGCGATGAACTCAGAAGCCATTAGCTACATAATTAAGAACACCCGTAATTCGGAATGGACAGGGAGTAGTACCGGACGGTACAAAACACATTAACTTCAACGAGAATGCGGAGGGAGGTAACAAACAAACGGTCATTAAGCGGACAGCGGCTACAGCAGCTGGTACAAACGCACGGGCGTCGCGACCGGTCATTGTGGTCACTAGTCGGGCCACAAACTAGAAAGTCTGTTTAGGTCGCGACGAACGCGCGTACGGCTTAAAAGGGAGAGGTTTTGAGAGAAACGAGAGAGTCACCGACTACAACTTGGTATGTGTACACTGTCACTATTCGTGTTTAGAATAAAACTATAGTTGTCTACCGTTTACATCACTGTTACTTCGACTATCTACGGTCTACTGTCTACGAACGTATATTCCACGCTACATAGGCACACAAATACAGCGAGCGTGCGCAACGAAACAGCGAGAAAAATACATGTAAATAACGATAAATATTATCGACAAGGTAGCACAATTACAGGCGCGAAGATAGCGATCACGCGAAAATAGCTAAAAATCAGCAAAAAATCATGAAAATCATATAGACACACACACCCACACGCACGCACGCACGCACGCATGCACGCACGCACGCACGCACACACACACACACACGCACACACACACACACACACCCACACACACACACGTAGTAAACACGCACACACATACACACATTTCTCTCTCTCTCTCTCTCTGCTCAAAATCCCCACCCCCTCCACTCCTCCTCTCCTCCTTCTCCCTCTCGTGCCGCTCCTCTCCCTCCTCTCCTGGCCTTCCTCCTCTCGCTCCTCTCGCCCTCCTCTCCCTCCTCTCGCCTCCTCCCTCCTCTCCCTTCATCCCCGTCATCCCCCTCATCCCCGTCACCCCTCATCCTCCCTCATCCGCCCTCATCCCTCATCCCCCTCCTCCCCTCCTCCGCCCCTCCTACCGCCCTGCCTCCCCTCATCCGCCCTCATCCCCCTCATCCCCCTCATCGCCCCGACTCATCCCCTCCCTCCTCCTCCCCCTCCTCCTTCCCCCCCTGCATCGCCCCTCCTCCTAACGGACAGCTTCAGCCAGCCATCGATCGACCGTCTGCCTCGCCGCAGAAATTTGCCTCTAACGAAAAGTCATAGAAACGCCCGATCAGCGGCCAAGCACACGCGTAGACGGACGCCGAAGCCGTGCGCTCCCACTGCTAAGCCGCCGCCGGGAGGACGAGCGCAACAGTCAACGCTCGCAAGCGCGCCCGCCATTTACAATGGCACGCCGCGGGCTCACTCACTCACTCACTTCACTCACGCACGTACGCGGCACGTCCACGAGCACCGAGCCGAGATTTATGATATACATCTGAATCATAGCTCTAATGGATCAAATGGTCTCACGAGGGCACACACAGCACACCGCGGCACGCGCACGCGCACGGCACACGCACACGCACACGGACCACGCACTACGAAACAGGAACAGACCCGAACACGAACACGAAACACGAACACGAACACGCACGCACGCACGCACGCACGCACGCACGTACGCACGCACGCACGCACGCACGCACGCACGGCACGGCACGCACGCACGCGCACGCAACAACACACACACACACACGAACACACACACACACACACACACTAGGACTCTCGTGGCTTTGTGCGGGCAAATCAATGCAATGCTCGCGCTATGCTAATTCTTCTCATATTGCCGGCGTTCTGAGAGAGATTCAAGACTGTATATGCATATATATATATATATATATATATATGTTGTGTGTATATGTATATATAATATATATAATATATATATATGCGGAGCAGGATCGGTGAGCTAATGTGCGAAACCGAACACGGAACATTACGTTATTATTAACACTATATATATACACAGACACACGTACAGCGCACACACAGCGTACACGCACACGTACACTACGCACGTACACACACACACATACGAACACTTACACTTACAGCTACACGTACACGTACACGTTACTACACACACACACACACACACACACACACCACACAAACACACACACACACACCACACACACACACACACACAGACACACACGTACAGACGGACACACGTACACGCACACGTATACACGCACACGTAACACGGACACGTACACGTACACGACACGTCAACACGGACACGACACGCACACGTACACCACACACACACACACACACCACACACACACACACACAGCACACAACACACACACACACACACTACACACACACAGTGCACGCACACGCAACACGCACACGCACACGCACACGCACACGCCACAGCACACAGCACACGTACACGCACACGCACCACACGCACACGTATATATATATATATATAATATATATATGTACTATACTACTGCTAAACTACTGATATCTTACTACTATACTACTGCTAAACTACTGATATACTACTACTATACTGCTGCTAAACTACGGATATACTACTATACTACTGCTACACTACTGCTAGATCGCAGTAGCCGATGTAGATAGAGAGAGAGAAACAGAGAGAGAAAGAACATCAGAGAGAGATAGAGAGAAAGAACATGAGAGAGAGAGAGAGAGAGAGAAAGAACATGAGAGAGAGAGACAGAGAAGGATGGGAGAGAGACACACAGAGAGAGAGAAATGGAGAGAGAGGAGAAGAGAGGAGAGAGAGAGAGAGAGAGAGAGAGAGATAGAGAGAGAGAGAGAGAGAGAGCGAGAGAGAGAGACAGGAGAGAGAGAGAGAGAGAGAGAGAGAGAGAATAAGACAGAGAACGAGAGAGAGACAGTTCTACGCCAGCTGCTTATATCGATATCAGTATACATCAACGTCAAACTAGTTAGATTTCAAAAAAAGGCCGACGCCGACGCTAACGTATGACGGGACACGACTAACCGCAAGAACCAGACAAGTAGTCCTAATGATCTATAGTACGTCCTAATCACCACACAGGGGACGGCGGCCCCTAGCACCAACCGACGCGACGATTCCAAGTCCGGTGACACACGCGACAACACGTGTGAGATAAATGATCAACCCAATAATGCTCGACACAGTTCCAGTGTCCACATTTTCGATGTTGTTCAACCTATTTTGCAGACAGCACCGACGTAATCGCGCGTAGAT